GTAAAATTAAAAATGTGTAAGCTGAAATTAGAGGAGACTGAGGACTTTTCTCAGTCTCAATGCTAGTGAATGTCAAACACAAGGTACAAATTCAGCCTGACTGATTTTAGAATCCTTCTCTTAAAACCTACACCGTGTTGTCCACCTTCCAAACACTTAAGGAAATGAGATGCTTTGTTTTATTCCCCCTGTTGCTAGGTACTACTCTCTGTCTTCCTTCCTCCAAGTTCTCTAAATTTTTCATAAACATAGTTAGGTTGTGATTTTTATTGAAATATATTTGTCTTGCGTTGTTCTCCATAAGAGCTGATCGATCTATTATGTACCCTTGAAGAACTTTGATTTTTCTCTAACTGGCTTACTGTTTTGTTTATACTGAGTAAGATTATCTATAATTATAGTACGTGGCATTACTTAAATAAATGTATTTTTGTTAGATCAAGAAAAAAAAGTAGACACTTGAGAAAACCCAAGCTAAAATATGAATTTGGCAAAATTTGACCTCTGGATTCTTAGAAGTTCTCCTTATCTGTCCAGGGTCAAACAATCCTCTTTTCATTAGGCAAATCAGCTCTTGGAAGGATCCTTTATAATAGGCATGATCACCTGGTATAACCTTTTCCAGAAGGGCCACATTTGTAGTCTCCTTACTCTCCTTCCAAGGGCCACATTTGTACTCTCCTTTTCTGTTAATCGATTGTTTTTATTTTTAAAGTTTGTTTTTGAAGTCAACATATAGTTAGAACTTGCTTTATTAATCCAAACTGACTTATCTATGTTTTAATTCCAGTATTTAGACCATTTACATTTGACTTGATTTGTGACATGTTTAGATTTTAGTTATCTGGCTATAAGTTGTAAAGTTGTCCCATGTATTTTAACTTCCTTTTCACTTTTTTCTGCCTTCTTTTGGACTGAGTAAATGTAATGATTTTCTTTCATCTCCTTTGTTGTTCTAAACACTTTGTTTTACTATTTTAATATCTGTTATAGGAAATCTGATACCCTTCTTTAACTCATCACAGTTAATCTATAATTATCAATTGTTAATGTACCATTTCCTGTGTAGAATAATACCTTTCACATTTATCTGTTATTTCTTCCCCCTGAACTTTTTGCTGTCATTGTCAAACATTTTACATGAAAATTTGTTACAAACCCCAGAAGCATAGCTATTGTTTTTGCTGAAGCAGTACTAATACACATAAATAATAAGAAATGTGCTTTATATATCCTGTAGTTAAAAGTTCTGGTGTTCATCCTACTTTGTATAGACATATATTTCAATCTGGTATTATCTTCTTTTTTTTTCCCAATAATGTTTTTTAATGTTTCTTACATGTGGATATGCTGCTGTTGAATTCTTTCACCTTTCCATGTCTGATGTCTTTATTTGACACTTTCTTTTTTAAAAGATATTTCACTGGGTATGAAATTTTATTTTGACAACTCTAAAACATGGTTTTAGAAAATTAAAGATGTTGCTTCATTGTATTCTCACTTGAACTGTTTCCAGTGAAAATTTTTCTGCCATCTTACTATTTAATTTTCTCTACAGAAGTAATGTAATTTCTGGATATTCTTCAAAGTTTCACTTTTTCCCCTAATTTTGAAAAATGTGATTATGGAAAGATTTGGATGTAGTTTTCTTCATGTTTATTTTGCTTGAGGTTTGTTGAGAGATCTGGGGGTATAGAGTTTTCAGAAAATTTGAAAACTTTTCACTTATTATAGCTGTAAAAGTCCCCTTCCCCCTGTTCAAAGACTTTAATTACATTTGTCCAGTAGGCCACCATCTCATTTCTATTTTTTAAAGGCAGGCTTGGGGGTGAGGGTGAAGATTTGTTGCTTTGAGGAAGTCAGCAAAGTTAAAGTGCTTTCAAGAATTACACTGAAGCCCTGGCTGGCGTAGCTCAGTGGATTGAGCACGGGCTGCGAACCAAAGTGTCGCAGGTTCGATTCCCAGTCAGGGTATATGCCTGGGTTGCAGGCCATGACCCCCCAGCAATCACACACTGATGTTTCTTTCTCTCTCTCTATCTCCCTCCCTTCCCTCTCTAAAAATAAGTAAATAAAATCTTAAAAAAAAAGAATTACACTGAAATCTGAAAGCAGAGGTTTTGTTTAGAGACATCTAGCCACAGATTTAGCTTAAGGGAATGCTGAGGCTCAAGACTGCACACAGGGGGACAAACAGAGGTCTGGGGACAGATCTCCTTAACTTCAGCAGACTAATTAGTAGTGCACGTGCATGAGTAATTTGCTCCAGGCCTAGAAAAGCATGTGGTATATAGTTGTAACTGCTTTAACTTACTTTTCTGTCCATTTTAGCATCTATATCAGTTCTGTATTGGCCTTGATTGGTTGATGATGATGATGATGATGATGATTTTGGCTGTGTCTTCCTGGTTCTTTACATTCCTAATAATCTCTGACTGGATATTATATTATATTGATTTTTCCTTGTTTTGTTGACTACTTTTGTATTTCTATAAATATTTTTGAATTTGGCTCAGATATACAGCTAAGCTACTTAGAATCAAATTCATCCTTGTTTTTATGACTTGTTAGGCAAATCCAAAGTAGTGCTCAGTCTACGGTTAATTATCCTTTACTGAAGCAGGGCCTCCCTGAGTTCTATACTCAATGTCCCGTGAGTTTTTCCAATTTTATTGATAAGAAATGGCACTATTCCTGGCCATATATGAATGCGAGGCATTCTTGCTTTTAAATTTTTCAGCTGGTGCTTTTCTAGGCCTGGAGCAATTTGCTCACGCACGTGCACTACTAATGAGTCTGCTGAAGTTAAGGGGATCTATCCACAGGTCTCTGTCCCCCTCTGTTTCCCCGCTCTGTGCAGTCTGGAGCGCTCAGCATTCCCTTAAGCCAAATCTGCTAGATGTCTCTAAACAAAACCTCTGCTTCCAGATTTCAGTGTAATTCTTGGAAGCATTTTAACTTTGCTGACTTCCTCAATGCAACAAATCATCCTCACCCCCAAGCCTGCCTTTAACTTTTCCTGTATGCTTCAAAGTATCTGGTGTTCAATCCTGATCAAAAACTCAGCTCTATCAGACAGATATTTGTTCACCTGTCTGTCTCCCTAAAAAAAGAATATAACTGATTTTCAAATTGCTACATCTTCATTACCTAGTAGAAGTTAAGAATATATGTTGTTGGATGAATGAGATGGAATTCTCAATCATGTCTGTAACTCAGAGGTAGAGGGGCAGTCTCGACATCTGGGAGGCTGATGAAAGGAACGGGTATACCTGAAAGTCTGAAATAAGATTCCAGTGAGTCAGGTATCAGATGCTGAAAGTAAATTAATTAATTTCCTCTCATAGGCTATTCAGGTTTTATTCACTTATAATATCAAATAGTAAATTATATAGTACAGAGTATTTTGTATTCAGTAGTAACTGAGAGTTTTAAAAAGACCCTCTTCTCTTTACCAAGTAGGCATTTCTCTTTTACACAGTTGAACAGCATTTTATGTGGGCTTTTAAATTATGTAGGAAATTTCCCAAAAGGTCATTGTTATTGTTCAAAAAATAGGACTTTACTCCAAGAACTAGATGCCCTTGGAGTCTCAGGAAGTGTGAGGAGGGAGCTAAGTAGGAGTGGGGATTTTATAAGCCCTTCTCTGTCTTCTGACCAAGGCCATCCTTGAAGGCTTCAACTCTCTGTTTATCAGCTTCAGAGAACTGTTGATCTTCCTGTTTCCTGATAACCTAAGAGCCATAATTTTATTTCTTGAAATTTTCTACTTCTCAGAATGTTCTGAAGTTTTTGCCAAAAATTGAATTCATATTGACTCCACTTTCTCCACGTGGCTCTTTCTAGTTCTGGGAAACTCTTGTTCTTTGTGCTCAGAATATTCTTTTTGAAAGGCTGGCCTGCCTCCTCCTTCAGATGCTTAGCCTACAAGCACTGTCTGGCCACCAACTCCCACCGGCATGTTCTCTTCGGTGAAGCTAATGATCATTAAAGGTCTTGTCCCTTCCTCTGTGGGTGGGAGATACTCTACTGCAGCATTAATACCTCACTTGACAGCTCTGTGGTTTTGCCACTTCTGGGAAACATCTTTTATAGTTGATTCGGAACATAAATTAAATGGATACAGATGTCAGGCAGTTTAACATCACTTTGTGTGGACTAAGAGAGGCAAATCTTTACATACACTCCCAGTTCAGGAGTAAGCCCCAAACTTTATTCAAGATACTCATTGGTGGCTGTTTCTCAACTTGTCCAATGTCATTAGAGGTACTTACTGGCAGATTCTGAAGTAGAAATCCAAACACGTGATGAGTATAATCAAATTTGCATGTAAGCTAAGATTAATTTAAAAGGGGGTAGGTTAATTTAAATCAAGGAAGGCCAACCCTTTATCCTGATTTTAAACCCCTTACCCATTTTTTGTCCTCGTGGATACAATATAGAAACCTGCATTGGATAAATATTTCCACCAGGTAAAAAAATGAGTTGGAAATCACCTTCAGGGCCTTGAACCAAATCTTTCACAGTAACAGATGCTCTTTACTAAAACAAGCTCACTTCACCCATGTACTTAACAGCATCAGTTTTCATGAATAAGAGTATCTTTTACATGTGAGAGGGTAGGGGTTAGTGAGTGGAGGGAAGTATATCACATAATCTCCTCTCCCTTCACACCCACTCACATAGTGCTCATTTTTCCCATTTATATTTTTCACAAGCACACATATTACTGCAGTTATGTAGCCAGGGTGGGCCTAGGACTGGGTACAGCTTTGTAGCACATTTCCATAGTGATCATGACAAGCTTTGATAGACAATCCAGCTGAAAACTGAATTTACCTTGGAACCAAGAACAGTGTTGAGGGAGAAGATGCTTCTACTCTCCCTATCCAGAAAGTCACCTCTGCACACAGCACAAAACTTAGTATGGAGCATTGTGGAAGGAAAAGAATGCATTACTTATTTATAGCATTCTTTCTATTTTTGTTCTTCATCCACAGAGATTGAAAGAATTAAAGCAACGGGAATTTGCTCGAAATGTAGCTTCCAAGTCATGGAAAGATGAGAAGAAACAAGAAAAAGCACTTAAACGACTTCATGAGCTGGCTGAGTTAAGGCAACGGACTGAATGGTAAGAATTAGAGGTACCTCAGATTGTTCAAAACTCTTTTCAACCTCCAAGGAAATTTCAGTGATAAATTCACTTGGCTTGTTGTAACAGCATAAACAAATTACACATAATCAGCAGACATGTCTGAGGGCAAATGTTCCTAACAGTTAAAGGTTCATAAATTAATTATTTTGGCATCTGATATTTTTCTGTTCCTAATAGCATTAACTTAATGTGCTCTTCAATGAAATGATCCAAAAATGATTCTAATATACTAACATGTATTATATTCACTTGACTCAAATGGACCTATATAGCATTTAAATAATTAAGTTTTGTAGAACAGTTTTAAAAACCATAAATAACAAGCAAAAGATGCATCACATGCATCTTTTTCTTGAGAGGAAATAAATCTTTTGTACATTCCCTGTATATACCTAAATCTAGAATAAATGACATTATCATTATCTGGGCAAATAAGATATAATTAGTCTTACCATTTAAATTGATAATTATAACAAGGATACACTAACACATTCTCACAGTTGAAAAATAAGTTGTACATAGTTTGGAACTGCTGAATGTCTCAAAGTAATGAGCTTGTTACCTAAAATTCAATTAAATTTGCAAATTTTGACTTATGTTATGAATCATAATGTAGAACACCAATGTAGCTAATTAAGGTAGTTGACAGCAACCTGGTGAATTGTGAAATTTATAGCTTTGTGCCAGAATTTAAGCCTCTGTTTTTTAAGTGAAAATCAATGTATATGTTAAGTGAAATAAGGCAAAGAAAGAAAAACACCATGTGATTTCACTTGTATGTGGAATCTGATGAACAAAATAAACAAACAAACAAAATAGAAATAAACTCAAAGATACAAAAAACAGACAGCAGAGGGAAGGAGGAGTCAGGGATTGGATGAAAAAAAGGTGAAGGGATTAAGCAAAAACAAACAAACAAACAAAGCCATCATAGACAGTGTCTACTGTGTGGTGATCCGCCAGAGGGAAAAGCGGGTGGGGGAGGTTGGAGAGGGTAAAGGAAGATGTAAATGGTAATGGAAGGAGACTTGACTTTGGGTGGTGAACACACAATACAACATACAGATGATGTTTTGTATAATTGTACACTTTAAACCTATGTAATTTTATCAACCATTGTCACCCCAAAAATTAATTTAAAAAGCAATATACAATAAGTGTGAAAGTGAATGACTCAGTTGTAACCATAAAATATTAGACCCTCAGTTTTGATTGTAAAGATATTTATTTTTAGAATTAATCTTTCATATATACATGTATTTGTACATTATTTATCTTAGAATAATTTAAATTATAGGAATACATAAAATATAATTATGTTAAAAATAAGTGAGGAATTTTGTATGAAGGAAAAATAAAGGTTGGAAACCATATATCCAGAGGGGAGGTTACTACAAAGATGCCCGCTATGAGGTTCCAGAAACAGAACGCACATTTGGTAGTGAGCTTTTTCTTTAAAACACACTGAGGATCTTAACATATGTTATTCAAAACCATTGTAAGTAAGATATTAGACAGTCCTTGTCAAAACAGAGCTTAGAAATAACACCTAATGTTATAATGGTAGCTTGCAAGAAAAAAAATCTAGGTTAGATGTTAATTCCTGGGTGATTGCTTATGAGGTACCATAAGTCAGATTATTAAAAAAAAAGAACAAGTCTCACTATAGAGAGACACTTATTAGATAGGTCCCTTAAGGGTATAAAACAGAAAATCCAAGTAGCCTTAATAAACATAATTTTGGTTATTTCTTTATTATGGAAGTAGTCACACTTCTACATTTTGACTCACTCATTCCATGTTTTCTTTTGGGATAAAGGATCAGAGAAATGTTCATAATGATGAAAGTAATGGTGATGGTGCTTTTGTTTAAAAGTTCTAAGTTTGCAACACTACTCATTGTGTCTTCCAAATTAAAAATAATTTAAAAATTCACCCTATTGGGGTTAGTTGTCCCTTTGGAAATCTCATTAACTAAATAAATACAAACCTAAGCACATCCTCTAGAGAGCTGGTAGGCTTTCTAGGTCCCCACCTGCTCATATTGTTAGAAAAACAATAGGTGTTTCATCTATAGAACTTGGGACTAAGAAAACTAATTAATTTATTTTTTTACTACCCACCATCTGCCTCCACAATTTTTCTCTCTGCTTAAGCTGTCTCATGGCCTAAGGGAATTCACTTAATAGCATAATTAAATATTTTATTTTGGCAGCTGAATTGACAAATGAAAGTAAGAAATGAAATAAAAAATAAATCAACTGTATGACTCCTTCTCTGGACACCTTTCTTTGTCCTTTATTCTCATAATGAGAGCTTCTGAGTAGGATGATATAGATAACATGAAAATTCTTTCATGACCCTATGGAAAAGAGAAGTGAGTTTGATAGTAGTAAAAATATTTTAATCAGGCTAATTTTAAAAATGATGGCAGAAGCTGTTAATGGACCTTATAAAAGATAGCCAACTTTGGCCATCTCTCAGGTAGTTCAACCCAACTTGGTTTCTCAGCAGGACCAGTTATTGTATGCAGGGAGCTTCAAACTGTTTGTAAATTTCCACATGTGTAAGTCTAAGGACAGTGCAGCTAGATATAGACGTTTTGGAAATTTTACAAGTTGTATCACTGCTGATTCTGAGAATATGAAGGTCTTTATATAAGAGCTCAATACTGTGGGACATTGGGAAATTATATCATGTAAAGAAATCATCTTGTTTCATATGTTTTATTTTGTGTTTGGAGGTATACTTTTTGCACAAGAGAAAATGGAATTACGCAGGTGTTCAGTTGCCAAGAATTAAGATTTTGGGAGAACTATTGGAATAAACAATCCACTAATTAGTATCAAAGGGCTACCTCAATGGTCACATGTTATTATAAATAAAAATAATTAGGTAAACAACACAGAAACTGAAAAGTTCTAGAGGAGGGAGTGAATCATAAATAAGGACCTAACAATAAAAATTAAACCTTTGGTTATAAGTCATAAACTTGTATTAAAATATTATTTAAAACATCACAAAGGTAAAAAATTAGAATTTTCCAAAATAATAAAAATAAGATAGATTTAAGATAAGGAAATTCAAGTTCATAAAGCAATGAGGTCAAAGGTTTAAAGCAGAAAAATAAAAGGTAAAAAAAGTTAATAATAAAATGTTAAAACTTGTGAGAAAATATAATAAATGTACATCAGCTTGTAAAGTTCATAAAGCAATGAGGTCAAAAGTTTAAAGCAGAAAAATAAAAGGTAAAAAAAGTTAATAATAAAATGTTAAAACTTGTGAGAAAATATGATAAATGTACATCGGCTTATAAAGTAAGCACAAAAATTAAGGACAAGTAAAGCAAAGCATAATACAAAAAGTAAGAGCAAAGAGCTTTAAAATGTTTAAAAGTATATAACAGGAAGAAGCTTGCACATTAGAGAGATAAATGGTAAAATAAAATAGCAATATAGAAAAGAACATTTAAACTAACATAAGTCAAAGCAAGAAAATGCACAAAACAGTATCAGCCTAATAAGTAAAAATATTATTAAGGAAAAAATAAAGTGAGAGAATATAAAAATAGTAAAATATGTGCATCATAATGGAATCAGGAGGAGTAGAATGATAATATTTATACACCAGGCTTTTGGAATAATTTCTGCTAAGTCTAGTGCAGCTAATACTGGATTGAATGAAGTTCCTGGAGAAGGTAACTTAACACAGAAATATAGCTCCCACTTAATCCAAAGAGCAGCTGCAGATACGGAAAAGAGTACTTTGGCACTGAGGCAACAATCAGTGCTGCGGATGTTTCTGCACCTCATCCTTCATCCCCACGCTGCAAGCACTTGAAAAGACCAATAATTAAGTAAACCTCTATGCTTCCTCTTTTCCTTTATGTTTGGAAGTCATATCAATAACTCATACATCTTAGAAGGTTCCTCTTCATTCCTCATGGTAAACAGGCATAAATACCCTCTCCAAAGGACATTTTTTAAAAGAATCAAAACAGGAGATTAATGTGATGAATAAGAGGAAACTTTTCATTATGAAGCAATAACTGTAAGGAAAATAATATAATTTTATACAATCTTTCATTTTAGTTTCCACAAGATTCAAGGTAACAGTATAACTTTAAACCTATAGTCATGAATTTATGAAGAGAGGACAATCTGAAATTATTAGAGACTGAATGGTGGCTGAAATTATTGTTTATGTAACAACAAAAAAGTTACATAGACATAGTAAACAACAGATTGGACATTGTAAAAAATTGAATCAATAAAATAGAAATTAAAAATGAGAAATTCTTTCTGAACTAAAGAAAAAGGCAAAAAACACTGGAGTACTGAAATAAATAATAAGACCTAAAACATATATTCAAGAGAGCCAATACATTTAACATGTAAATTCCAGGACAAAAATAAAACAGGACAAGCAAGATCCAATAACCAGAAATATATGAGAAGTGTCCGAGCTAAATAAAGTTAAATTGCAAGTGCTGAGAAGTACTGGCAAAACTTAAGCAAAAGAAATCAATCTGTTAACTATGATTTTGCAAAATGTTATAGATATACAACTTATGTGTAATAAACATGATCAAATATAGTCTATAATAAATATAATACAATAGAGTAATGAAAATGAAAAAATATAAAATCATACAAATGCTTAAGCAGATTTATTTTAGGGATGATTAAAAGGAAGCTAATTAAATGTCTGCAATGTTAAACATATAAAGAAAATGAAGCAAAGCACATGAAATTTGGTGGACAAAATAGCGGTGACTCTAGAGCCCTATGCTCGTTGGCCAAATACTTATGAGTGAAGGCAATAAGAAAGAATTTCTCAGACCAAGGGCTCAGAAAGCTCTCCTCTCCATTAGAATTTAACTACATGCAGACAAGACACCACTTGTTTCAGTATTGTATGCTTCAGCAGCCAATGACTGAATAAAAATGAAGTAAAATTCTAAAATAGAAAAAGCCAACACACACACATATTGGAACAGGTGAAAAAGAAAAAGGAAAAGAAAGAAGAGAGCTCAAAACAAACAACTGGATAATTGCTGCAATTTGTATTGCCTGCCCCCCAGTAAGGCCTTATTCCGTAGTAGAGATTTTACAGGTAGCACCCCAATGAGATACTTTTAAGAGTTTTATCATATACATACACACACATATATATGTATATATGTTTCCCAATTTCTGGTTGAATTACTAATTAAGCTCAGTAAAAATAATCTTTTTAAAGCCACTAAAAGATTACACACACACACACACACACACACACACACACACACACAAGGTAGAAAGAAAATATTTTGGTGAGTAAGAAGCAAAATAAAAGACTTCAAGATAATTGAAGGTATTGAAATGGCTTATAAATATGTGTTACTTACATTTATCACAATTAGTCAAAATAGTGAGAAGTTATAAAGGGAGAACTAACCACTCCAATTTAAAAGGAAGTTAACATGAAAGAGTTTTAAAACAAAGTATAGGAACAAAATATTAGAGGAAACAAAAATTACAAAATGATAGAATTTATACAAAAAAAATAAAGATATATTTTTATACTTTGGAAGTGACTTAACTCCATTTAATTTCTTATTTAATCTGAAAGTACTCATGGGAAAACTCTTTGTGAAGGAATATTAAATCTTTATTACAAAAACTGATATGCTCTAGAAGACATATATTGTGGCATAAATGCAGTACATTATTTTCTTTGGCAGTCTAGCATAAATATTCACCTGCTACTGCCTTTTGCTAATTTCACAAGAATACACTTAAATGCTGCAATTTGAAATAGCCACTTTGAAACACAGACCTACTGAGTTTTAAGTGCAGTGAAATGGTCATATCACAGTAGACAGAGTTTATAAGCAGTTGGATGATCCCTCATAGAAACACTATGAAATATTCACATATGGATAAGATTTAATGTTATAATCATTTTGATATTTATTGTATTTACAGTGTTTCTGGAAGTGGACCAGCATACAAAGCCCCCAGGGTAGCCATAGAAAAGCAACTCCAGCAAGGAATTTTCCCAGTTAAGAATGGCAGAAAAGCATCGTGTGTGAAGAGTGCTCTTTTGCTTAAGGGCAAGAACCTCCCCAGGAGCATTTCCGAGAAACAGCGGTCTACCACGCAGAGTCGACACCAGTTACAAACAGACAGACTTTATTTGTTTGGGAAGCGGGTGCCACAAACATCTTCAGATCTCAGTAATGCAAATCACCGCACAGGAGTATCCTTTTCTTTTTCCAAAAAAGTACATGTAAAATTAGAATCTTCAGCATCAGTTTTTAGTGAGAACACAGAAGAAACCCATGATTGTAACAAGTCACCCATCTATAAAACAAAACGAACTGTGGAGAAATGCAAGTGCCGCAAGTTTGCAAATGAGGGGACCAGTCTCACTAAGGAAGAAGATATAAACATCTCATCAAGCCCTCTGGGGAGTGTTTTACACAATAGTGTCTCCATAAGTTCTCAAATTTGGGGAGACAAAAATGACTCTGTTGAAACCTTACAAGATTCAGTTGGCATTCATTCTTCTTTCTCTAAATCTAACATGCATCTTTCAGAGGTGGATTTTACTCATTCCAGTAGAGAAAAAGAAACTAGAAATACATTGAAGAACCTTTCAGAAAACTGCATTAATCACGCATGCCAAGCATATGCTTCCTCCAGCCTACCAAACATTTACAAGCACAGTGATGCCAGGGTATTTGAACGTCTGGATGAGTTTCCATCACTAGAGCCAAGTGAGCAAAATGATCCAGTGCATCAGGTTTCCAACTTCAGAAAGGAGAAGAGAGAAAAATACTTAGATGGAACAGAAAGAGTTAGCAAAAATGTGCAAAGACTCATAAGAGAAGCATGTTCACGTGATGTGAAGTCCAAACCATTGCCTTATCTCCACGTGCAAAGCAAGGATGGCCACACCACTCTCCAGTGGCCTACAGAGCTTCTGCTCTTTACCAAAACAGAGCCCTGTATCTCTTATGGCTGCAACCCATTATATTTTGATTTTAAGATTTCGCGGAATGCAAAGCATAGCCATGATCCAGAGGACTTAAAAACAAAATTGATTAAGGAGCCCTTAGAAATGAAGACTAAAATAGAGAGCCAAGTCTCAGGTTTAATCAAAGACCAAGAAAATTGGATCCAAGAAGATAATCAATCTCCGAAACCAAAGATGATAGCTAATCCAGATTGGGAAAATTTCCAGAGAAAACATCATTTGGGATACAATGATTCTGAGCCAAACATAAGTGAACACAATATTAGTACAAGTGATTTAGAAATGAAAAATCCTGAAGTGCCTGCTTACCTTGATATCTCTCTAAAGAATTGTGTAGGAAACAATAGTGATAACGAGCTTAAGGAACCTGTGAGGGCCCATTGGCAAAGCTGCCGAAGGGTAGTTCTAAATGATGTAAATGAGGGCCTGTCCTTTACTCCTTACATCCCTAGGACTAAAAAGCATAAACTGATTCCCTGTGATCCTCATTCAGATTTCGAAGATGGAAGTCAATTCAGCTGGAATTCTAGTCCTTACACAGTAAGGGGTCAGAGTGACCATGGGCAGGACTTCAGTGTGGTTTTGAATAGTAACCGTGTCAGTATGACCAACAGAGCATCTGGGTATAGAAACGGAAGTTACAAAAGAAGTCCTCCAAAGTTGTCTCTAGATGCATGTTCTAGTCCTTCCGACACATCACCTAACAGAACACCCAGTACTTGTTCAAGTCAGAGGTCCAGCAGCAATGGCAGAGGTAATCTACTGTACTTTTGTAAAAGAGAACACAACTCAGCTAAAAGGCTCAAAGAGAAATGCCGAAAGCACAGCTGCCTCTGCTTGTCTGGGGAGGTAGCGAACAGTGACTGTCTTCAGTCTGAAACACAGAGAGACCGGAACTGCAGATTGTGGGAATCGTTTAAAAATAAAAAATACTCAAAACATAGACATGGTCACTGCAGAGAAAGATATAAACTAGGCAAAAATCAACAACAATCTTTGGGGCCCATATCCAGAAGAGTCACCCATTGTGATACCAGCTCATCAGTTTTCCATGCTGGGAATAGAGGAAAACCACCTGCTTTCCGGGGACCTCAGCACAGCCAATTGGGCCCTTACTCAAGAGAAAGAATTTATTACATAAATAAAAGTGAAAGAAGTCAACAGTCTTTGCACAGCCCTCATATTTGTGACCTGGGAAACATAAAACCCACACAGTGTCACTCCGGGAATATCAGCTGTCTTCTAAGGAACTGTCCCAGCAACCCAGAGTTAAACATCACGGGAGGGAAGAACTCTATGACAGCCAAATGCCTTTTAGAAAGAGTTCAAGCCAAGAAGTGTCAGGAACAATCAACTAATTTTGAGGCCTCTTCAAACACTTGTAAAAATGAATCAGAAGCTCATTCAGAAATCCAATGCACAATTCAATTCACACCACCAGGCTGTAACAGACCAGCATTACCTTTGTCTGAAGAAATACAAACCCCGAGTAAAAGAAATAATGACAGAAGCAGTGCAATGCAAAGAACTATTGAGAAAGACAAAGTCAACAGTTCACAGACAAATAATTTTACTGTTTTAGTAGACACTGATTGTGATAACCATCTTTCTAAAGGTATAATTCACATAGTAGCAGAATCTCTGCCACCAAACATGAAAAAGAACCCAACAAAAGAACACTCAAAACCATTAACAAGTGAAGTCCAACCTTTCATTCAACGCTGTGACCCAGTGCCAAATGATTTCCCTGGTGCTTTTCCACCCAATAGATACACTGGTGTTACTGATTCAACAGAGACCAAAGAGGACCGAGTAAATCCAAACATGCAGGATGCAAGCATGCATGTGAATCATGCTGAGGGGAATATAGACTCTTACTATGACAGAACTATGCAGAAGCATGACAAAGTAGCAGATGAATTAGAATTGTGTCCTAAATCTCTCTCTCCCCCTTTAATTCAACAGCCAGTAACATTTTCTCCTGATGAAATAGATAAATATAAGCTCCTTCAGCTCCAAGCCCAGCAGCATATGCAGAAACAGCTCCTGTCAAAGCACCTCCGAGTGCTGCCCACTGCGGGGCCGGCGACTTTCCCTGCGGGATCGGCTGTGCAGACAGTCCCAGCTCACCAGCACGCTTCTTTCACCACCATCCACCACACGTTCCTGCAGCATTTCGCTGTTTCTGCCTCCATTAACCCCCCGAGTAGTCCCCTCCCTATAGCTCACCTACATCCTCTTTCACAGCCACATTTTTCTCCATTTGCATTTTCACCACTGACTCCAGCCCTCATCCCTGCACACCCCACTTTTATGGCGGGTGGTCCCCTGCATTTAGTTACTGCTACCCCCTTCCACCCCTCTCACATAGCACTTCAGCCCCTGGCCCCTGCAGCTTTCATCCCCACATTGCTTGGCCCTCACTTAAACCCAGCCACAGCTTCTATCATCCACCTGAATCCTTTAATTCAACCAGTGTTTCAAGGTCAAGATCTTTGCCATCATTCTTGCTCCAGTCAGATGCAACAGTTAAATGGAGTGAAAGAGGCCTTAAATGTGTCAGCATCCTCAAAGTAATAAGTGTTAAAGCCTCTCTTGGGGATAAATAAAACAAATTATCACTACCTACCAAATGATGTAAGTGTTCTGATTATTATCAGATTTAAATATTGATGCCAATTCAAAATGTAACCAATATACAAATATGAAATGAATGGCCAGTATTGAAATAGGAGCATTTTAAGAATTTCTTGTAACTTGAAAAAATAATAGGACAAATTTAAAACTATTTTATGGATAGGGAGAGGGGAAAGTGTTAAAAATCCCTTTTAGATGAATTCTCACATAGTATGAAATAATAACAGAAAACATTCAAGCAGATCATTAATATTAATTAAATGGAATATTTAATGCTGTATGTTCTAGGTGTTTGTTGAGTGACTGAATGAATTGAATGCACATTTGGTTTTATTCACCAGATAATAATAAAAGGTCAGTAAAATGAATTAATTATTAAAAATAATGTTTTATAGTTAACTATTAACTAGCTTTCAGTCTATGTAATTTGTTTCAATCAATATAATCTATATTTTCATAGAAAATAAGAGATAGCAAGAAGTTCTGATTGAGGGAAAAAACTACCCTTCAATGAAAAGCGATCTTTACACAGATTATAAGTGTAGTATTGAGTTTCTGTGAAAAATTGGGTTATCTTTATTTCACACACATCTATGTAAAGAGAATTTTGTAATTGTAAGAATCACTGACATAAAATTAAGAGTGTTTAACTTTTGTATAAGAAAACATATAAAAACTATCATTAGTATTTGACAATACAAAATAAAATATACTCAGAATAACATTTTGAATACATTGGTCAGTCTTTCAAATATTAAAGGGACTAAATAGTATGTTTTCTTTATTCTTCTCAGAAATATTACTGTGTCCAGCCAATGTATAAGTGGAGACATAAAGGTTTGGAAATGTCAGAATTTTTATGTGATATTTACTGGGAAAATGTTAAAAATACTTGGTGTATTTTATTCAATTACACTAGATATTTATAAAATACAGGGAATGATGATGAATAAAACACCATTCATGTAATTTTGCAAATGATTTTAAATATTTGTTCCAAATGCTTTCTGGCCCACAGAATTTGTATTTTTTACATTTATATTTCTGACTGGTCCTCCAGTTTGCTTTATTACTTTATATTCTTAAAATGAAAGAAAAACTTGTGTGACTGTACATTCCCCATAAACATGGGTTTCAGAGAAAATTAAACAGAAATGCAGGTGGTCAGTCATCCCCCACTGTGTATTATGATGCAAACTCTCCCACCACTGGAGATACGAGGGCGCTTTATTCAACCTTGGCTTTCCCGGGAGGAGAGCTACACTTACTGAAGTTCTACTATATGCCAAGGGAGTCAGGCGAAGCACTTCACCCACATTATTTCATTTACTCTTCACTGTTGTGTTTTTTCTAGATAGGTATTTTGTTTTGTTTATTTTTACAATTTATTTTTAATTAGCATTGACATACATTATATTAGTTTCAACATAGGTGTGCAACATAGTGATTGTATTTGTGTACCTTATGAAGTGCTCACCCCACTAAATCTAGTCCATCTGACCACACATAGTTATTACAATATTATTGACCACATTCCCTATGCTGTGCTTTTCAGCCTGTGACTGTTTTTATGACTGGTAATTTGTATCTCGTAACCTCTTTCCCTTTTTCACCCAGCTTCCTCACATCTGGCAACCATCAATTTGTATCTATGACTTTGTTCCTGTTTCTTTTGTTCGTTTATTATTATTTTTTTAGATTGCACATCTAAGTGAAATCATATGGTTTTTGTCTTTCTCTGTTTGACTTATTTTACTTAGCATAACACCCTCTAGGCCCACCCCATGTGGTCTCAAATGGTGAGATTCCTTAAGTTTTCACAGTTGAGTTCTATTTCATTGTATATATGTACCACCTCCTCTTTATTCATTTATCTATCAGTGGATACTTAAGTTGCCTCTATGTTGGCCATTGTAAATAATGCTACAATAAACATAGCAGTGCATATATCCTTTTAAGTGAGTGTTTTGGGTTTCTTTAACTAATTACCTTGAAGTAAAATTTTGTTGACAGTTCTATTTTTTATTTTCTGAAGTTTTCCATAGTGGCTGCATCAATTCTGCTAATAGTTCATGAAGTTTTTCTTTTCTCCCGATCCCCAACAACACTTGTTGCTTGTCAATTTACTCATGACAGCTATTCTGACAGATGTGAGGTAATACCTGACCGAGGTTTTGATTTGCATTTCCCTGATGATTAGTGATGTTGAACATCTTTTCATATGTGGATTGGCCATCTGTATGTCCTCTTTGGAGAAATGTCTGTTTATATCCTCTGCCCATTTTTAAATGAGATTTTTTTTGTAATTCTGGTATCAAGTTGTATGAATTCCATACATGTTTTAGATATTAACCCCTGATTAGATGTCTCATTGACAAATATCTTCTTCCATTCAGTAGATTGTCTTTTCATTTTTTAATTGTTTCTTTTGCTGTGAAAACCTTTTTAGTTTGACATCATCCCACTTGTTCATTTTTTCTTTTGTTTCCTTTGCCTGAGCAGATACATTGAAAAAATACTGCTAAGAGCAATGTCAAAGAGTTCACTACCAACTTTTTTCTTCTAGGAGTTTTATGGTTTAGGTTCCTATTAATTCTTTAATCCATTTTGAGTTTATTCTTGTGTATGGTATAAGAAAGTGGTCTAGTTTCATTGAAGAGATTGTCTTTACTCCACTGTATATTCTTGTCTTCTTTGTCATGGATTAGTTGACCATATAGGCATAGGTTTATTTCTGGACTGTCTATTGTGTTCGATTAATCCGTGTGCCTGTTTTTATGCCAGTCCCATGCTGTTTTGATTACTATGGCCTTGTAGTATAGTTTGATGTCAGGTAGCATTATACCTTTAACTCTGCTCTTTCTCAAGTTTGTTTTGGCTTTCACAACTATTTTTTGAGGTCATTGTTACCATTCCTCTGTACAGATGAGAGAAATGAAGTTGAAAGGTTAATTTAATTTCTTAATACTTAGAAAATAGTAAAAGAAAGCATCTCTGGTGCTGGTGAGAAGAAGATGTGTGTGGGAGAGAGAGAATTTGAAATTTTAACATAAAAAGATGTTATGACCAGATATGACTAGATATGACTAGATATGACCAGATACTTGTGGGATGGGAATTTTCACTTGAATGTGGTAGGAGAAAGTCTAACTTATCTAAAGAAAATAGAAAAAGGTAGGGAAGGCATCAAATATCAAGGACCTTAATCTTTCATTGACCTCCAAAAAAGTGATTATAAATGAACATTGATAAATATTGAGTGAATCCAAAGGAAATGGAATATAATATTTCTTATAAGAATAGTTGACAAGTGTTCCAGCACATAATAAAGTAATGTGGATGACTATTTCTTAAACAGATTACAAAGTAGACATAAATGCAAAACAGAATAATTATGGAGAACTCATTGGAAATCCTATAAATTTTTATAATTGTCTTTGTGACAATTTAATCTCTCAGAAGGTTAGACCAGAGAACATACATATACAAGGCACTTAATTTTGAGGAACAAAGATAGATTGAAATGAACTGACATCCAAATGACTATCTTGTATTGTCAGTGATGAAAATGTTCACTAGATATGCTGCTATCTTGAACGATGGGAAAGCAGACTTCACCATTTAAATAAAAGATAACTTGTACTCCAGGGTGGGAAATTATAAAAGTTATGGCATCACAAGAGGAAACTTACAATTATATAAGATTCCAGTGAGGTGGGAAACTGTAGTCCTCTAAAAAATCCAATATAAATTGAAAAAGGAAATGATTCAAAGTAATTGTTGAAGTGCCATACATCTGTAAATAGTAACACAACAGACATACATCCCAATAAACAGAGTTTAGGTTAATGTTTTGTTAATATCCCATTTATTTGGAAAATCAAATGAAGTTGACCTTTTGTTTCTGATTTGTGCTTACTGCCAGGGGCAAATAATCTAATGAAAAAAATATAGTGTTACCTAAATCTGATTTTATCTTTTCCTTTTAAGGAAAATTCTTCAAAGAGGAAATCATAGAAACAACATGTATAAGAAATTTGGAATATGTAGAGACAATTATTTTCTGGAGACTTCAAATGAATTTGATTCTTCACATTTAGAAGAATGCTGCAAAAGTGTGCTTCATGACACCAATTGTCCTTGAGAAAATGTGCAGTATGGAAGGGGTGAAGAAAAAATCTCTGCTTTTTTAAGGGAAGGAATATTGAATTAAATATTATTGATTTATAGATAAAATTTTAAGCAAAGTATTTAATGAAAAGGAAGAAACAATCAGTTGTAACTATAATAGGTATACTAAAAACAAATAGTACAAAAATAGAAGTATTTTATTTCTAATTCATTCAACAACTAATTATTAAGAGCCATGAGCTAGGTAATAATCTAATTGATGAAGATATACCAAATATGACCAAAACAAACAAAACATACTCCTATCCTGTAGTTTAGTTCTAGTTGAGTCATCAAGAAAAAGAAACAGAACCAACAAGTGAAATATGTAACACGTCAAATGATAAATGCTGTTGAGGGAAGTAAGTAGGAAAGGCAAATAAAGAGGGTTGAGTGGAAGTAGTGGGCAAAGTACAATCACAAAACAGGTCAGGGGAAGCTTCACTGTGAAAGCAAGTGCAGAAGTGAGCATTCCAGGTTAAGAAAAGATCGGGTTTCAACAAACTGTGCGTGAGCTCCATGTTCAAGAAATAGCAGAGAACACTGCGACTTGGAAACAAGGTTTCAGGGGATGAAATACAGGGGATAAGAGAAATAATTCTAGAGCAAAATCATTTAGGATCTTGTCAACCATTATAATGCCTGGCTTTCAATGTGAGACGAGAAGCTATTGGATAATTTTGGCAGAGGATCAACATGGTTTGTCTTAGTTTCATCAGGATCACTCAGCTATTGCATCATGAAGAATCTCTTGGGGAGTGAAGGTAGGG